GGCATCAAAGATGTCACAAAGTCGGAATGCATGTTTTGATATGGATTTCAGAGCAAGAAACAGCCGGATGCGTTCAAGATAAGGAGAGTTCGGGCCAGTCATGAGTTCTTCAGTTTGATCCTTCTCTGGCGGGTACTGCCCAAAGCGGAAGGTGTCCACTTCTGAGGATGCTATGAGATACTCCCCGGAAGCTTCGTCCCAGAATGGAATGAATGCCAGGAGTTTAAGACAACTCGGTCGCCAGACAAGGCCAAATACCATCAAAAGCTCAGACAATGAGCGATCTGATGATCCTTTCGTCCAGAATCCACTGCTGTAAGGCGCGATTCGTTGCCGATGGAATGAGGCTAACAATAAGCTCGCTAGACTGCCGCGAACAACATGGGAGATGTCCCCAAGAGTCTCAGAAGACACTAATTCGTCCCCGGGATCGTAGGCGCCTATAATTAAAGCAGGGTTGGAAAAGGACACAGGAAGGTGTTGATCAACCCGCTTTGACTCGGCCATCAGGGGAGTGATTGGATGCCTGACAACGCAGAAACGGATGCGATCTGTAGATTGAGAAGGCTGATATTCTTCCGGGAAACACAATCGAGGCTTTCTGTCCGGACGCCAGGATTAGTGTGGAGAAAGTAATAAAATGTTAAAAATGTGTGACCTTAGTACCCAACAACCCGGTGAGCCAGAGAGTGAATACATAAGCATGTCGTCAGCAGATGCACACTCTTCGTTGTGTATGAGAAGTGAATGAAGCTGACTTGAAGTGTATCTCGTGTCGTGTTGTAGGGAACCAAAAATTCGGTTATCTCGCCCTTCAATAGTCCAATGAGATTCAAGAAACACGCGGGAGGTAGATAGCAGAAAGTCAGGTCGCAAATCCATAGGCGAGTCGTTCCGGGAATCGACTTCTTCAGTGGTGAGCGTGGATAGCATATGCTGGATTGGCGCCAATGTGGCACCAATCATTAATTGAGACATGAATGGGTGTTCATCCCTGAGAAAGGATACTATTGGCTCTTCCAGCTGGGCCTCAGAAAACTAACACGCTGTCAGGGGCACAAAAATAAATCAACTTTCAGCATTTATTTACCATCCAGTCAGAGGGCAGTTCCAACTTTCCGCCATTCCATTGATTGCGAAGATTTCTGAGATACTCTATGCACCCGGAGAGTGAGGCAGCGTGAAGACCTGCACCCTCCAAAGAGCCAGTGCAAACCAAGTTACTACGAGTGGTGAGTGTGGATTGTACTCCAAGCGAGCAGGACTAGGAACCAACGGATTGAGCCGAAAATTCAGTAAACCAACGAAGGGGGTTCTCATGCCACTCTACTGGGAAAGGCCCGCCGCATCTTTGAGGTGGGCTCATGAGAGCGAGTGAGGCGTGTGTGGGATCCTATTATATATACTTATATATATATCTCATAATGATCTCATAATGAAGTGAGGTTGAATGTATTGATCAATACAAATTAAATTCATAAGCAATTCAGTTTTGTGAGCCGTGGGAGCTGTTCCAATGTTAACAATTGCACTAGATAACCTATCATGGTGTAATAATAAAAGATGGAGGGGACGTTTGAGCAATTCCATTGCAAAAAACCCCATGAAAAACGGTCGAAAACTGAGGGAGATACGAGTGGTGGCCCATTCCAGCGCGAAATGTGTGCGTGGGAAACAGTGTCCACGGCCTCATACAGGCTGTTTGACGGCTAAAGCTAATAATACGAAATACAGAGGACGCTAATAAAAGCTCATTAAAAAAAACCCGACGAAAAACGAACAAGATTTGACAGAGATATGCATGTACATGTCTTTTGTGTGTGAAAAAATGTGAAAAAACGTCCCACCGCCTCATAGACCCTCATTTGAGATGGACGACAATAATATGAAATGCTAAGGACGTTAATACAAGCATGTACGAAAAAGAACGACGAAAAACGAATGATAATTGACAGAGATACGAATGTACATGGTTTTTTTGTGAAAAAATGTAAAAACACGTCTTACCGCCTCATACGCGCTCATTCGCAGCTTGCATCAATAATATAGAATGACCAGAGAGTTGGTCCAAGCCCATTAAAAGAAACCCGACGAAAAGCGAATGAAAATTGACAGAGAAGCTTATGTACATGGTTTATTTGTGGAAAAAACGTTCCACCTCCTCACTCATGCTGATTCACGACTTGCACTAATAATACCAAATGCATAGAATGTTAGTACGGGCCCATTGCAGCAAACCCGACGAGAAACGGTCAAGAACTGACAGAGATACCAATCCACTGTCAGCTCCGCGGGTGATCTGTGCGTGGGAAACGTTCTCCAGCACCTCACAGGTGTTCTAAAAATATGTAAAAATATCAAGTACTTGCGTTAATGGTATTTAGAGTAGCATGTTAATTTTCAGAACAGTTGGTGCAGTATCAAGCGAGATATGATAAATTATTCCATTAAATTTCACTTGGCACCCTCAAAATCGCGCAATAATGAGCCGGGGCAATAATAATAATTGTAGAGAGTATTAACATGCGCCCGTTAAAACAAACCCGAAGAGAAACGAATAAGAACTGACAGAGATACAAATGTAGTGTCTGCTCTGCGCGTGGTCTGTGCGTGGGAAACGTCTTCCAGTGCCTCACCGCATGTTAAAAAATATGAAAAAATGTTGAAAACTTGCGTCGATAATATATAAATTAGTACGCAAATTTATAGAACATTTGGTAAGGTATTAAGCGAGATATAAGAATAATACCATACAGTTTTGTGTGGGACATAAGAAAATCGCCATAGTCTCCTCGGGATCGCCGAACGACGAGTCGGACTAATAATACAACATGTGGAGGACATCAAGACGCGCCCATTAAAAAAAACCCGACGAGAAACGGATGAGAACTGACAGAGATATGATAGATTTATGTAAAGAATCACGTGTATATGTTTAGTTTGAGGAAATTCACGTGAGCAATTGAGCGTAACCTCCCACAACTTTTTTCGCGCACAGACATATGCGAAAAAGTACTAATACCCCCACTCAAAACCGGTTTACACCCCCCCATGGGAGCAATTCTTTTTTGTTCCCATGTGACTTTGGCATGTAAAATAGATAGATAAATAGATAAAATAGGTAGATAGGTAAATAAAAGTAGATAAATAGGTCATAATAACCGTAAATAGTAATAATAATAAATAATAAAATAATAAAAATAATAGTTGTTTGTTGCTGTATTAGTAATTTTTTTTTTGGTTTTGGTTGTTTTCGCTAATTAGCAAATAGAATTGGATAATAATAATAGTAATAGTAGTGTTGTATTAGTTATGTTTTCGAAATTAGTGTCTACAATAAATGGTTGTATTCTCTCTTTTTCTTTGTATTTAAAATGTGGAGCAGAATCAAATGAAGGGTTCCATATAAGGTAAAAATTTGAGAAAATTCACGGCAACATGGCACAACATGAAGCAGAAACATCCAAAAAAAATAAAACCAAGGTGTCCTGAATAAAATAAAATCTGAAAAAATTGCGGCAATTTGGGACAACAAAGGAAAATAAATTTTATATAAAAAAAAATCCAGAAAATTCACGGCAACATGGGACAGCATAGAATAAAAGATAGAAAAATAAAAGGAAGGTGTGCTATATAAAATAAAATCAAAAAAATTCATGGCAACATGGGGAACACTGTTTTATCAACTTACAAAGGAATTCCATGTGATGGGAGGTGGTTGGGGTGGTGGATTTGGAGAAATGGCCAGAAAATGAAGAAAAACAACAAATAAAAGGGCCTCACTCCCAGTGGATTGCCAAAGAGGGGGGAAAGGCTTTTCTCATTCCTGTGCATGATTAATGGAGTGGGGTTTGGGGCATGGCCCCAAGGCTCTCCACAGGAGTGGGGTTCGGGGCAAGGCCCTGATGGCCCTCCACAGGAGCAGGGGTTCAAGGGGCTGGCCCCTTGGTGTAAAAAATAATCAAATATATCCAAGGGGGTTTGGGGCGCAGCCCCAGGCTCTCTGCAGGAGTGGGGCTTGGGGCAATGCCCCAATAGCTCTCCGCAGGAGCAGGGGTTCAAGGGGCTGGCCCCTTGGTGCATAAATAATCACCATATATCTCATTATTTCTTTAGCACAAGGGGAACAATAATAACAAGGATAACATTGCATGGGGCGGAGCCCCGATGCCCTCCGCAGGAGCTAGAGACCGCTAAACACGTGGGTGTGCGAGGAACGAGCACCCCATGGGTTAAAGGTCTCTAGTGTATATATATTGTCGGAAAATTGCGTACAACGTTTAAGTAAACGCTGGTAAATTGTTTTCGGTGTTTTTTTTCGAAACAGCCACCCACCAGCCAATGAGAAGGTGTTGGCCAGATGTCATGATCATTGTAAGTTAGATGAGTCGGGTTTTTGACAATTTCGACGCAGTGGGAAGGATTTATGATGCAATTATTAAAATTGTTAAAAACGTATTCAGAGCGTTTCGGGGTGGTTAAGGGCGTTGAAAACGCCAAAAACAATTTATCAAGCGTTTAAACGCTAAATTATGGGGGTTAAACGTCAAATTTTGTGTTTTTAATGGATACCGCGGTTTTCTGACATAGTTATGGAAGACGTCCCACGTGCGGAGTCAGGTACGGCAGGCGCAGATACCGCACACATCCAGAGAGGAACAAGTCCAATATTTGATTCCATATTGCGGGCGCGAAACATGACTGACTGGCTGTGTGTACCAAACCCACCTACCCGGACGACAATTCTGATACCTTTACAGTGAACGCCCAGTGGTAGAATACGTCCGGTTCAACAGACTTTTCTTCTGGAATTCGTTTTCCAAACCTTATATGCACCGGGGCCATATAGTATGCCGTATCTGCGAGGGCGTGGTGTATGATAATCTCCCCACGGAACTTAATGTATGTACAGTTCAGAAACACTCGAACAGACCCTCAACATCTTGTAGACAATAAGGAGGGGATTCGAGCAAGGGAAACTCAGGGACCTCCCGCGTGCTGCCTCTTATGCAAGTCTTTTGGCTCTCAACCTGAAACTTGCATTTGCAACATCCTACTATGCAGCTGAAAAGCGCGAGATAATTGAGGGCGATGGTGGCGAAGGACTCAACAATCCAAACGGTCTTGGATGGCCTTCACCTCACGCAGGCAACATAGGGACAATGTGGACGTTTGATTCGAATTGCAATGCGCTATTAAAACTAATTTTTCGTGGCTGGCATCGGCGTGAGGATTTCACGGGTTTCGGGTGTGCCCAAAAATATCATCCTCATCTGTGGAATCGTGTCCTGAACCTTCTTGTAGCGGCACTTCTTCAGCTCTTGGATTCACTTTCATCGACTCCATCTCCCACTTCAGCTCCTCACTTTGTATTGGGGACGCCCAGATCCCTGTGGGCGTTGCAGTTGACATTGCGTCACGCAGACCAGAAATTTGCCAACAGAAACGGTATCAGCAGGCAGATATCATTGCTCGACAGGAATTGGTAGCAGCAAACCTACCAATATTGACCCTGATGGCAATTGCAAGTTGTCACATTGATGCTAATGGAAACTTAGTGTATCGGCCCCTCCCAGAAGCCTTTGTGTTTGGTGTGGCTGTTTTAATGGAAGAAGTAATGGTCGAATTACTGACCCCACACTTCGACGAGAAGTCAAAGAGCTGGAAGATATATTGCTCTTCTTGTCATTCTGCTGCCTTGGGCGACCTGACGTTGGCTCGTGCACGACCGCATTTTCTTTTCGTAAAATTCCTCAACTTGATGTCTGGGATCCATATACACCATCAAAATGTAGCGCGGGCTCTGGCCGGACATAAGTGGGACGAAGATGTGTTGGCAGTGTTTTCTAAGCCATCTGGCGACTAGTACTAGTTACACAATTGACAGGATGAATCAAAATGTTGACCTGACCCTTGACAATTGATGGTCACAATCGGGGCTCTCGTTGTGTTGCATCTATGTTCCTCCTATTATAGTGCAGATGGTTACCTGCACAGCAGTGTCACTCTCCACCTACATAGTTTGTGCCACTTGTGCTTATGTGGTTGACTCTTCTGTAACATCATGTGTATAATACAATTCATCTTCACGATGTTGATGAGCGACACTTGTGATCTCGGAGCCGGACTATGAGTAAATACTCAGTCTCAGCTAATATGTGTGAAGAACTAATTGTATTACCTATAAGCGTGAAGCTAGAGGTAATGTACATAGTGTAAGTTACAATAGTAAATGAAACAGTAATAAAGGACTGTTGTAACTAACTAGAAAGGTTGCTTCGCAACCATGACCTTGCTTGCACATCATTGCTGACCATGAGGTAGTAGAGGCTGGGATCCTGCCTAACCATGAGGCCAGTTATCGGAGTTGGCCTCAGTCATTTAATTCCTTGACTCTCCATCCGTAAAACACTCACTCAGTTGACATTTTCTTTGTAGTTATCGGACATAATGAGCACTGTGAGTTGAATTGAGGATGGTCTGAAACGATAAAAGGGGTTGACAGAGGGGGGACACCGTCTCTTACTCCTGCCTTTGGCACTTAACCAGAGAGAAAGTGGTCTGGAGAAGTGTCGTTTGGAAGGCGAGCCACCCTCTTCACGGTCATTAACAAGGGGAGCTGGGTCTCTAAGCACTATGATCTCCTCCACACGTGCAGAGTTCCTCTTCTCAGTGCCTATCAAGTGACATGCTGGTGACATCAAACCTAAACACCGATCTGAACATCGCAAATGGAACTCGAGGAGAAGCGGTGGGGGCCGAGGGTTTCGCTTTGTTGCCCACCATCCTGCCCTCTTATCAGGTTGGAAGTCGCTCAAGTGCTCTATGGCGCCCGACAAAGACGGAGAACTTGCAGTCACGAAGTTCTCATTTGCAAGGTGCATGACCTGTGTGCGAAGCCTTGAAGCAGGCAGACTCAAGTACATATGCTTCGAATATGCTGGCAAATACTACTTGGGAAGCAGCAAGGTATCGGGCACTGGTTAATACAATTCGTTGGATAGTCACATGCTATTGGGAATCACATGAGAAGTAAAAGTAATATAAACACATTTTTCCCACGCAATTGTGGGTTTGGAAGTGACCTTGCAAGCAAGGTAACCTCAGTCTCAGCTAATATGCGTGAAGAACTGAGGGAAAAGGAAATGAATTCAAATGAATGAATATATCCATGGCCTGGCACGGGTTAGTCCGAAATAATATAAAAGAGGTGTTGTGACTAAGTAGTCACACTACCGCAGGAATGTGGCTGTCCGGGCGAGTTCCTCACTCGGATGTGGGAATGTGGCTGTACGAAAACTCGTCCGGCCTCCCATAGCACACGGTTCCTCCAACACACGAGTTGGTGTGACTAATTCTGCATGACACCTCCAACAGCCATTCTTGTTTCATAACTGATGGACGCTGCCTGAAGCGGCAATACCCGCTACTCCCACATCGATGCAGCATCGCAGCCCACTTAGAAGTCACTCTGGAGCCGTCTTTGCATGCCGTGGTACTAGGTGGTACTACAAATGTAAAATATCGTTAAGTTTTAAATCAGGACCACACCCCCAGTCTGCATATAGAACCCCACTGACATTATGAACCTGAATTGAACGCCACAACAGTATAACACTCCAAGACTGGCGAAGGAGTTTATGTGATATTATTTGGTTTCGGTGAGTAAATACAAGCAAAATGTCACGACAGTGTTTGAGAGAGGGAGGTGATTGGTTTGTCGGCAGCAAGGAGAGCAATGCAGACGGTGTGTAAAAGTGCGCACGAAACCTGAGAGTAGGCAGGAACCTGAGAGGACAGGAAGGTAGTCAAAAAGAAGATGGAAAAACAAATCACAAGAGGGATATTGAGAGGTGGTGTGCAACACATGCACCTTGAGTAACAATCACTGGTCAGGGCATGGGGTAGGAGCAAATTCCATTGATCGTTGATTGACAATGAAAAATCATATAGGCTGTGAGCGATCGCTTCTTTGGTTAGATGATAATTGCAATCAGCTTAAGTGGTAAGGAGTTTAAATGGCCAGGGGCCACTTAAAAAGGCTCGGTGTGGAGAGGATGCCATAGTGTGGAGCAAGAGTTTGGGCAGGAAGGAAGTGCAGCGGGAGGGTTGGAGGATTTGGGCAGGAAAGAGTGGGAGGGTGGAGGTTTGGGTGTAGGGCCAAGTGGTGAGTTAGGATCCACAGCAGTGAGGGACAACTTGGGTTAGCTTGGTAAGCAAGTTGAGGTAATCTGGAGTGTCAGAAAGCTGAGGAATAACCAATAACGGTGCTCAGGTATTCAGTTTGTGCACGCAAGACCTGCTACAGAGTAGCGGGAATTTTTCATTCAATCTGATCAAATGTTCCACTAAATATTGACCCATTTGACCACCTTCATCCCTGTGAGAACCAATTCAATTGTGGGGTATGCATGTCCCCAAAATGGGCTCTTGGCCAAAGCCAGGCCAGCCATTTCATTCACAAACTGTGAACATTGTTGTAGGTAAGGTACATCGATCGACATCCTCAACACTGTCATATCCATCCCTGGCCATCGACTTCCGGTTCCTCCGATCCCTCCGGTCTAACTCCGCTCCTCCCTCACTAACCTCGGAGCTCCTGTATTCCGCAACCCTCTCGGTACCCCTTGATGGTCACCACCCCCTCATTTCAATTTATTACCTACGCCTCCCTAAGTACGGAGCCCCGAAGACTTCCGGACAGCTCCGACGTCCGCTAGCGCACCCCCGCCTCCGCTGGGCAATACACTCGCCTGCCCTGCAGAGCCCACCTTCGGGCCTATCCCTCCTTTCCGTTTCTGGGTTATCACCTGCCTTTCCGCTAACCCTGCGACCCGACTTGTCGGTAATATTCAGTCGGCTAAGGTTTAAACCCCATTAGCTCCGCTCCGTTCGGCTCTGCCAATTGCGGACCCGTCTTCGCTGTAACCATATATATATCCCACTTGTACATAGGTTACACCCCAGTAGTAAAATCAACTAGAGTTACCCCCCCTTCGGTTCTGATTGCCAGTCAGTAAGTTAGGGCACGGACGTGTCACTAGGCACAGCGCTCTTGGCAGAAGTCGCTGAGGCCAAAGCCCTCCGCTACGGAGACACTCCCTCGTCTCGAATCTGGTCTCTGACAAACACCAGGATAACCATACATTACACTACAGACCTGTCCTCTATTCCTTGGGTGCAGCTCTACATCCTATTTATTGCCATAGGTGGCATATTCAGTAAGCTTGAAATCCATCATTGACATCATTCCCAGCCCTGCACCTAACAGAACACACTACATTTGCCTCCAATCTCATTACAGATATCATTAAAAAGGACCTCTCTTTGCATTTAACTGAAACCACTGGAGGTGCTTAGCACATCACTAGTGCACCATGGTTAATGACAGGGTGTCATGGCCGTGCATTCCGGCCCGTTAGCTGCCCGTCCCGATGCCGCCTGAGCCCATTACTGCTATGCAAGCGTGAGCGCGAGCCCCAACCTCAGCCCTATCCTCCCTGAAGACTCCCTGCTCACTCCCCCACTTTCCCCTAGGCTCCCCTGCACCTGGCCGACTCCCCCACAGCCACACCAACCTCCCTGCCCTGAGTCTGCCTCTGGCACCGCACCGAGCGTGACTCTGCTACCCCACCCACTTGGCCCCTACAGGGCCGCTACCATTCCTGTGCCTGACTCCAGCCCAACTCCGAGTCCAGTGCTGCTGCGATACCATCGCCGCTATTGCGGCCCTACACTCCTTCCTTTATTTATTTGTTATTGTTTGTTTTGACCCTCGGTCATTGCCGGCTGCTGTGCAGCCAACCCCGCTCTTTGTTTCCTTTTGCTTCCGGACCCTTCGGCCTTCGGCCCGGGTCCGCTTCCATTCATTCTTTCTCCCTATATATATCCTGTATGTTACTTTATTGTACCTTAGCTCTAATATTGATGTGACCACGACCCCTAAGTCCTGACCCCAACAAGGCAACCCCAGTGAGTCTGAAATGAGGGCCAAGAGACAGCTAGGGGGCACAGCACTCCCTTTAGAGTTGCTGAGGCCAAATGCCCTACCCTCGGGCCTTGTTTGAGGCATCGCGGCCATTGCAGTCAATAGCAGCCTGCATTGGCGACCTTCGGTGCCGACTCCGGATCAGTGTCTAACACAGGGATCCCCCCAATCAACCCAGCCCTCTGAGTACACCGTCTATGTAGAGTAATGGTTTCTCCAGGCTGTTCTGTATATTCTGTGCGAGGATTTGGGGCTTGTCCATGGAGACACCTGCAGAGGGCCGGAGGTTGCACCTGGCACCGCTGGTACTCATGGTTGTTTGGTTGCTAAGGTTGTTGAGTTCACGAGTGATCTCGCAATAGTCAGTTGTTGCCTTACACTCCCAGTCCATTAAAGTATGCTGTATGAAGCTATATTTATCAACGGGGGTAAAAGGCTGGGGAAGCCTTTACCCCCTTGCATGTAGGTTAAATACATTATTGTATGTACATGTGATATTTGTGGCTTGGGACTGCATGGTAGAATGAAGGGCTCGGGAATAGAAGTGTCGCATCGGGTACAAACCCGACATGATAGAGAATGAATAGGGTAGGCTGCAAGTATGTGTCAAAAACCCGGGTTGGACGAAGAGGGGGTAAATGCGTGAGTCCAAATGCAGGCGGGGCTCAACTAGAGGGGGGTCCGAGGGCTCCGGTAGTGAACCGAAGCTTCTCAGGGAGCCTGGTTCTGCTGGATGGTACAAGAGGCTCTAAGAAGGACGCGGCCTCAGTGACTTGGAGGGAGCGCTGTGCCTCCATTACATCTCAGTTGGTCCTTGTATTTCTTATGTCTGAGGTATCTTGTAGAACGGGAGCGGAATTCACTCAGAGGGACTTTGGGTGGCATTTTAGTCGAGATTAGAACTGAGGAACTACAGGTTCTAATCTACATGTATTTTA